CTGCCCTCCTCCTCTGTGTGGAGTCTAGAACAGAGCCTGGCACCTGGGCATTGCTGCAGATGTGTCCCAGCTGTTGCATCTACTTTGTGGGCTTTTGGTTCCCAGTGCCACTCCTGACTCATGCCTTCATCCAACACATGATACCATCTTCTTTGTTATAAGTCTTTGGTATCCAGTCAGCTCCTGGCCAGATGGGTGCAGGGCATGCCCCATGACCACTGCCTGACCCCCCACCCAAGGCAAGCCCTTTTGTGGCCAGCATCCTGACACTTGCTGGCCAGAAGCTCCCAGGGGAGAGACACATGAATGTCTTGCCAACCTAGAGAACAGAGTGGGCCCCAGGGAGACCTCTGTCCTTTCCCAGGAGAGAGCCTGGCCCTCAAGGCAGCTGCAGTGCTGAGACTGTGGACCAGGAGCTGCCTCCCAGCTGTCACGGTGCTGAGTGCTGTGTTCAGTTACTTCACTCCCCTCAAGAGTTGTGGCGCCTGCTGACTCGCTTGTCAAAGGAATAAAAGCTACCCATGCTCCTTTAGCAGCCCTAGAGCTGGCACCCTATGGGGCCTGGCCTGACCTGTGCGGGGGCAGCTGTCTACGCAACTGGCACAAGTTCCTTGCCTCTGAGGAGCCTCTTCAGGGCTTTGATTCCTGGAGGCACCATCCTCTGAAAAGATGCCTCCTGGGGATTTCAGGGGAGTTTTACAGTTTCTCTTAACACAGTGGTTTTATGGTGCATAGGACCCCAGGGACATTTGCCTAAAGCTCTGGGAGTGAGGCTATATCCAAGTCAGGGAGGGGACTGTTCGTCTGTCCTGGGACTGGGGCTGGGGATCTACAGCCCTCACCTGGAGCAGACAGACAGTGCTCAGAGCTGTGGGCTAGGGAGGGAAACTGAGTCCCCGACTGCCACCTCCAGCTGTTCTGCCCTTCCTAGCACACCCTAAGCCACCCACCTGACTTGAGTCCTACTCAGATGCAGATAGACAGCCAAGGCCTCAGCCATTACCCAGACTGCAAGACAGGCCTCATGTGTAGGCTTCTCTGAGTACCAACTCCTGGATGCCTGCTGTACTCCTTTTTCAGGGTTGTGCATTTCCCCTTCCCACCTCATCCACTTCTCCCCTGGCCCCACGGACAGGCTTAGCTACTGCCCAGTCACTGCTGGGTCCAGGCTAGTCTCTGTAGACCACACTGCTCCACAGGAGGCTTAAATGGTACCTCCTAGCTTCTCAATGCAAGGTGCCAGAAGATTGCTAACTCAAACTCCAGCTCCTCTAAGAAGACAGTGAGCCTGCTCGGCCACTGGTTCTTTCCTCTGTTATCACCTTGTTCCTGGGTATAAGCATAGTGCATGGATGTTTCTTAATCTACCAGGGCACACCCATTCTGCCAGGGCCATGCTGCCCCCTTTAGCGTCAGGCCACTCTTCTGCCAGGCAGGGGCTCTGGTAGCTCCATGACCTTTCACAATGGAACCTTCCTGTCCACTGCAGTAGTTCCCATCTCTTTGATGGAATCTCTTTCTGCCACAGTCCCCAGGGTACCTAGGCTGACTCAGCCTTACTAACTGCCAGGTCCCCTAGAGCTGTGCTTCAAACACCCAAATCTGATTGCCAGGCTTCCGCTACCTCAGGTCCTCAGAGGACCACAGTCACTGCTTCTCTGGGTCTCTGCTGAGTTTTCTGTTCAGGGCTCTCTCTGTTGGTCTCACGGTTTCACCCTTGGGTTCCCCCATACCTGGCCCTGCTTTTTGATCCCACCCCAGCGCCATCCCAAAAGATTGCAAAATGGTGAGCTGACCCATGGAGGACGACCTTGTGTGCTCACTGCCTGCCTGTAGTCCTCTCCCACTGCTGCCTGCCAATAGCAGGGCTAGGGCTTCCCCGCCACTCTTGACCCCACTGCTCATGCTTACTCTAGCCACAACAGCCCAGTGAGCACCATTCTCTAACAGCAGCCGTTCCTACACTCCAGCTGTGTGAAGTGCTGTTCTGAGCACATCATTACAGTCACATCTCTGAGATGTCACCTGAGGCACATGATGCACTGGCAGGTCTAAGGAGCCTGCCGTTCATTCACAAGTGGCAACTGACCCAGCGAGTTATTTTATTCTTTATTCTGACCCTAAAGCTTATAGCTTCTGGGGCCTGGCTTTCAGCCCTCTGTTGTCTTTGGCTGGAAGGCAGGGAGAAAATGAACAGAGGACTTGGATTTGAACCTGTAGCCTGTAGTGTCCATAACCCATGTGCATGAGAGCTGACTGGAAATTCCAGCTGGGGGCTTTCTATAAGGCTCATTTTCAAGTCTTTTCTTTTGACCTATCATGTTGGGACAGCTCTTTCCTGCAGCTCCATGTCACATCTAAAATCATTATGACCATCCCTCCCTGCCTCCTCTACAGAAATTCCTGGAGTTTCTGCCCCATTATTCTGGTTTCTGACAGTGGTCTCTGCTTCAAGTGCTGCTGGTGTCTAGTCCCTTCCCAAGGGTGAATCTGTGACTTGCTGAAGAGCCTCATTCAGGCTCAGCCTCCCCCACCCCAGTCCACACCAGGCAGTTGTAAAGAGAACTTGCTATTTAGAAGGGAATCAGAATTGTCAGCAGGACATAAATATTCATCGAGGGAGGTTAGAACTGAGTCCCTAAAACCTTGATTTGTGTTCGCCCATTTAAGCCTCATTAAAAAGTGGCAAATGAAAGTGGGGATATTCAGTGTAACTGCAAATAAATTGGGCTTGTTCAGATAAAGGCCCCCGACTGCCAGCCCCTCAGGCCCTGTCCAGAGCATGATGGCGGAGTGACTTGGCCACAGCTTCAGCTGTAAGCAAGAGCGCCTGGCCTGGCTCTAGGGCAATTACCACTTGTTTGGGCACCTGGTCACCTTCCAGAGGCATTCAGGGATGGAAATCCTTAACCTGATCGCTCCCCAGAATGGCCTACAAACCAGGGTCCTGCCCAGAGAGCAGCAGAAAGAACTGAACCTGGACTGGACATCTGGGCCAAGCTGTGTCAGCTATGTGCAAGCACAGCTGTTTTCTTGTTTTAGTGAACCCAAGGGTTTCAGAAATCAGTTGTACAAACCCTGAACTATTTGTTCCCAGCCCTTCAGTCTACCCATACTGGAGCTGCTGCTTACTCTAGTCACAAATAGGAAGACTGCAGGAGACCAGGCCTTGTGGGCAAAAAAGGGGGCAGGTGGCCTAAGGAGCTGCAGACTTGAACATTCTTAGAGGTCAGGCAGGTCATAGTCACAAGTAGAATTGGCCAGTGTGTGAGGTTCCAGCCTGGGAAGATAAAGCTTGAACTAACAGGAGGGGCAGTATAGAAAAGGCTGACTTTGCCAGGTGAGAGGTATCTTCCAGCCAGGGTGGGAGGTCCAGCTGCATAATAAGTAAGATTTAGGTCTCGGCCGGGCGGTGGTGTCGCACGCCTTTAATCCCAGCACTTGGGAGGCAGAGGCAGGTGGATCTCTGAGTTCGAGGCCAACCTGGTCTACAAGAGCTAGTTCCAGGACAGGTTCCAAAACTATACAGAGAAACCTGTCTTCAAAAACTGAAAAAAAAAAAAATTAGGTCTCAGCATAACCTCTGACTGATCACTGCTGTGCCACATGAGGGCACAGTCTCAGGCTAACCTGTGTTGGGCACACTGCAGAGTGGCCAGAAGTACCCATATCAGACTGCTGTCCCCAAGCCTGCTCTCCAGTGGTCCCCTCCCTGCAATACAGTTCCAGGAAGGCTTCCGGCTTCTCTGGGAACTGCTTAGTCTGCTGGCTGGTGCCATGCAGTCACCTTGCAGCTTTGCAGATTATTCCTTCACGTGGAGCCCTCCTTCCTGGGCTGCAGGAAAGGGGTTACCTTTCACCTGAACCCACCAAAGTGGCTGACCCAGAAATGTCTTAGATGGCTGTTGTCCAGGGAGATGGCAGGGACTTCAAGTGCAACTTTGCTGATCCCTGACCCCAGGCTAGTGGCCTGGGACACCCAGACTTTGACCAGCCTGCTTAGAAGTCAAGTTTCTTTTGGGTAGCTCCAATAAGGAATGGAGCAGAGACGACAGAAGGGTATTCCTGTAATGCCTCAGGAAAACCATTCCATCTAGGGAATGCTATCCTTTGATTTGGCCATGTTTGCTGTCCTCTTGGAGACGTGGTAAGGGTGAGTGAAGTCAGAGCTGGAAAAGGACTGTTAAAGGAGCCCTCAACACACCCAGTGACCGAAAGTGAGGCACTAGCCAGCCAGTCTAGACCCAGAGAAATAGCTACTTAGATACCTGGAGACCAAGTCAAGGCAGAATTATGGTGTTCAATGCCAAATGCATAACACTGACACCCAGGTCTGGACCGCCTGGTCCAGCATTTTACAGACCATTTTCCCACAACTCGGGTATTTTCTTTAAGATCACATATCTGAAATGACAGAGCAAATGGAAGAAGATACGGCTGGCAGCCCTCTTTTTAAGAGCTTAGCTACTTTGCCATCGAATTACGCTGACCTTGGTGATAGGCAACGTCTCTGCGTAAGAGCCACATCAGAAAGAAACAGGAGTGGTTTTAAGTTGCATTGTTTCGCCAATTTTTATTGATTCTCAGAAAAACGCCTGTAGTGACAACACAGACTGCACTATTAGGATGAATCATGGTCATGAAGAAAATGCCCCTATTTTTTAACCCCCCAACATTTAACCCCCTCTCCTCCCACACGGAGACTTAGGACCTTGGGCTGTCTCTGCAGTGCTCATTTCCTTCTTGAACCAACCATGGGGCAGGTTCTGCTGGGTGCCTGGGATCTGCCGCTTCATGCCCACCCTGTGCCTGGCTCACCCACTTCTTGTTTCTCGGGACTCAGCCAGGCAGTTCAAAGTTTGAAGCTCTCTGTCAACAGCAAAGCTGGGTCCTACCCAGTACAAACATGGGGTGGGAAGGTAGGGTAGGGCCTAGAGGTGAGTCCCTCCAGGGCACCAGTGCTGGGAGAGCTTAGAGCTCCGCGCCCCTGTCTCTTTCAGATTGACGGCCTAGAGGAGAAGCTGTCTCAGTGTCGGAAGGACCTGGAGGCTGTGACCTCCCAGCTCTACAGGGCAGAACTGAGTCCTGAGGACAGGTAATGCCTCTGTTCAGTTACACCCCTCTGGCCTAGTCCCCTAAATAAACTAAGCCAAGACAAAAGGGTCCCTAACTTTGAGCTTTAACTCCTGTCCTCTAAGGTCCTATTTTTTTGGTCCCTTTATTCAAACAGACAAAAACTAATGCCCCTCTGGTTAAGACAGAAGAGAAAGGGTCTAACATGTAAACTCCTTCCCCACAGGAGGTCTCTGGAGAAGGAGAAAACCACCCTCATGAGCAAAGCCTCCAAGTATGGTAAGAAAGTTCCCTCCTATAGCCAGCCTGATCCCTGGCACCTAGGAGAAAATGGGTCTTTTTTTTTTTTCCCAAAGGAGGAAGCAGTAGCAAGGGATCTCTATTCCCTGGGGGTGTGTCTGTGCATGTCCAGAGGAAAGGTTCTCATCCACAGACACTGGACTCTTCATTCCCACTCAATCAGAACCATCTACATTGGGAGTCCCTACTTGGGCAGGAAAGGGCTTCTGTGGGTAGAACAATGCTGCCACCTTCTGGTGCTAGGAGCAGAGCATTAGATCCCTGAGGCTAGGACTGTGGTCTGCAGACCCTTCAGATGTGTCCCATTCCTTCTCTACTCAATCTGGCCACCGTGTACCTTCGGACAGCAGGAATTCAGGAACTGTGTGAGCCCGAGGAGGCTGCAGCTGGACTCAGAGTGAACTATAAACAGCTGGCTGGAGACTCCTGAAGGATGAGCTCCTTTGATGGCCTTACACATTACCCTACTGCACTCAGAGAAAAGGTTGAGCTAGTCAGGCCTACTCTAGGTCTCAGTCTAGGGTGTGTGGGCATGCCAAGGACATGGCCAGGTTTTGGGTATCAGTAGCTAGAAAGAGGCATTTCTGTCTGATTTTATCAGAGTGTCCATTCTGGGTGGGAGAAGCAATTAGGTGGGCCTCTGTGTTCTCTCTTGTTCCCATCTTTTTCCTTCCAGAGAAGGAGCTAAAGCTGCTTCGCCAAGAGAATCGGAAGAACATGTTACTCTCGGTGGCCATCTTCATCCTCCTCGCCCTACTCTATGCCCACTGGACTATGTGAGTCAGCTATCCTCAGTCATGCAGCTTCCCTTCCGCTCCCTACCAGGGACCAAGCAACCTTTCAAGCACAGACGGAGGTGGGGGCCTTTTCCCCTCTGGTTGCCCAGCGGCTGTAGCAGAAGGGCATGGTACTGTCGCATCCTCCTGCTCAGTAGAGGGGCAATAAAGAGCCCCACGCTTTGCTGTCTGGTGAGTAAATATCTCTGGCTGAGGAACAGCTGAGAAACAGCAAGGGATGTACTTCTGTCTCAAAGATGAAGGGATGTTCCCAAGTTCTTGTGCAGAAGGGAGGGGAAAAGAGCAGCTGGGAAGGCAGCATCGTGCCACCTGTTTCTCTAAACTCTGCCCTGGCCTGTGACCACCACTGAAGAAAATGCAGCATGCGTGGGAAAAGGAGACTTGGACTTGAAGTAGAAGTCCCAGGGGCACACTGAATGAACTCATCTTCTAGAGACATGCAGGGTCAAGGAGGCCTCCAGGAGTGTCCGGGTAGTAAGAGCGATGGTAGTGACCAGACTTACTTATGGTGACAATAGCCAGTAAATAAGGTGTACTCGATCAGAAGGAAGCCAAGCAAAAGCAGCTAACACAAGTCACCCCAGCTCTACTCATAGTAAAATGTCCCATGGAGAGGAATAAAGGAATGCTGTGAAGTATGAAGATGGGATCAGATGCAGGCAACCCACTCAAGCCTGATGGTCTGGTGAAGGAGGCTCAGGACACGACACTGGCCTCTTGTGGAGGGAGACTGGTCAGGGTCAGCCAAACACCCTTCCTTTCTCTCTCCTGTCCCTTGTCTAAGTGACACTAATTGGTCTGACACCTCTTGTTATTTTAGTCACAGAGACTGATCCTGGATTATCACAGTGCCACCATGGAGTGAGCTGTGTGATTTATGTAAGAGAGGAAAGGTGCCTCCCCACCCTCCTGGGGCTGTGGATTCATTCATTCCCCAATCCCAGCTTCAAACAGAACTACACCTGGATGTCACTGCTCTGAGCTGTCTACCAGGCAGCAGCCCAGGAAGCTTGGGTTCCACAACCCTCCTCCCTTTTTAATGTCAAACCCCCAACCACATAGCCCAGAGCCACACAAGCAGTAAAAATAAGTTTAATGATCCAAGATTCTGCCAGACACTGATAAGCCCAGAACTGGGTGGAAATATGGCATCCTAGCACTGTTGTTGCTGGCTTAGGGGTAGGGGCTGGTGGAAGGGAATTGACTCCACAGTGGAGTCAATTCCAACCTCACAGATGCCCTATCTCCATGGAAACCAGCCTGGTGCTAGCATGGGGCCCTCAGGACCCCTATGAACATCTCTTGAGAGGTACTTCCTATTAAAAACCACAGGTGCCCTCCCCAACCCAAACCTGCTGCCCTTCCTCCTTAAAGAGACAGAAGAAATGGAGTGACCACATTGTGTGTGCTTCCTAGCAGAGAGGAGGGGGCACCAAAGCTGCCACTAGCTCAAAGCTCTGTTAAGAGCTTCAGGTGGCCTGAACTGCCTGAGGGCTGGTGCTATGCCTACCCTGGAAGGGAGCAACAAGGGCAGGTCTTTGAAGCTGCCCAGTGTTTAAAATACCTACAGCAGTCACAATCACACCCAAGGCTCTGGTGTGTCAGGAATGCAGGGCCCTCACACCTTCCTGGCCTGCCAGGATGAACTCCAGGATGGGAGTGGGAAAAGACCACAAGAAATAAAACTCTGATTTATACAACAGCTGCTCCTGGCCAGCACATGCTGGTGGGCCTCCTTGCTTGGCTGGCCTGATAAAAAGTTGGGAAAAACAGGGCCTGACTGCGTTGGGGGTGGGGGTTGGGGTGTACATGGAACTCAGAAAACAGAGTCTACAAATCCCAGAGGGAATGGCCTGCTGTTCTCAGGCTGACTCCTGGTGGTGTCAGTTCTCAGGCAGCAGAGCTCCACAAGCACGTGTCCTCTAAAGACCCTGACTGAGCTATGGGAATGGAGATGAGCCCATTTCCCTCATGACCAGGGAGAACATTCCCAGTTCCTTTCCACATGGCAGGAGCCAGACACAGGGCCCTGCCTTGGGAATGACAGCACATTCATCAGGTGGCGATCCTAAGATCCTCCAGGATTGTGACTCTGGATGAAAGAAAGGACGTCCTCCTTGGACAGCTTGTCTGGATCCTGGGACTTCTGGGAGTCACGCATATGGAAGCCATCTCCCCACTCCCAGAATAGCCGGCTGTAGTAGCAGGTACTGGGAAGGGGAGGGGGCAGTCAGAGTGCTGTACCTTGGTGGCACAGGACCAACAGACTAACCCACCCCTGGCAACTGTGACTTCAAAGATGGACGCTTTTAAATGAGGCTCTGTCACTGACTTGAGAGTTCCCCCTCTGGCATCCAAAAGGTACCTACCCAGGAGACCCCAGCACCTTCATGCCTCCAAGAACTAACTTTTGCTGCTATACCCTGCATCCAACCGGACTCTTTACTAGTGTTCTAGCTCACCTGCTTCACTAAGAGACCAGTATTAGCTGGCTACAAAACAAGTGTTGGTAGCTAATTTTAGGCCCCACGGGCCACAGCCAAAGCTTAAGTCCTAAGGAGAAACACCTGGGACCTTGAGTCATAAACGGCAAGGCTAGGAGCCTGCAACATGCTCCTCAAACCCTCTTGCAGGTCCCCCAGCCACCTAGCCAGTGAGCTCTCTACCCAGGCTCTCCAAGACCTATTCTTGGGTGGCTTCTGCATGGCAGTGATGGGTTTCAGGTCAGTGGAGGACTACTTACTGAAATGGGGCAATGGAATCTGCAGGGAGGTGAAAGGTAGACCTCTGGGTTTTCTTGTTGTAGAAGAACTTCCTCTTGAAGCTCTTACTGAATGCCATGGTCCATGGCTCTGAGGGAGAAGAGGGCAGGCACTCAGAACAGTACCCATGGGGATGAGTCTGACCAATAAGGATGTCTTCCATTCTCCTGCTTGTCCCTTCCAGCCTCCATGGCCAAGCCCAAACGGCTCAGGAGGATGGCAGGTTATTACTTCTCTATGGCCTGCAGAGAGGCCATGCTTACTTGCTGAGAACACCAAGTGGGCATCTATAATTTCTTCTTTCCTAGTCCCCACCCAAAGACCAGAACAGGCCTAATCTGGTGGTGTAGTGTTCCCAAGAGGTACCTCAGAAGTTGCCAACTGTCCACGTCAACAAAGTCTGGGCCAGTCACCCTTGCTAGGGAAGGGGAACCTACCGTTCATGGTCCTGACAATGTAGAGGCCCGTGGGTACAAAGTGCCGGTCGTCTCGTCCAGTGTAGCTGAGCTTTGGCGTGCCACCGGAGCCCTTGATAAGCTTCATTTCTAACCTGGTTTCCCCAAATAGGTGGACATTCACGAAGCACATGCATGGTGAACAGAGTGGGGCATGCTAATGTTAGTCTCTAGGTAATTCACAATGACACCAGTTCCAGTATCCTATCCTGGTTTGGCAGAAGAAACCAAAGCACAGATCCTTAAGCATACTGCTCCAAGCCACCCAGGGGGGTGTTCACAGCAGTTCTGAGTTTAGAGCACAGTTCTGCACACCTAGTCGGGCAGCAGGTGCTGCTCTTTGTGAGGCCTCACAGTGGCACCAACAAGGGGAGTCAGAAATCAGTGATGCTACTGGGTCTTCAGATGACCACAGAGCTCGCTCACAGTGAAGTCATCTGGTGAACAAGGCACACTGAAAGTATGTAAGATACATCTATGTCCTCTGCTCACTCTAAGCACTGTGAGCTGGGGTTTAGTGTTTGAAACAGCTTGCTTCTCTGCCTTTTGAAAGGACAGTCCTAACCTATTCTAGCATCAATGAGCCTGTATTGCTGCCTGACATAAAGCACCCTGTACCCCCTCCTGACGGGTGCTGAACTAGCTCACAGCTGGGACTCAACTGTAGCAAGGCAGGGAAAGTTGGGAGTGAGAGAGGCAGTGTCAGGACCCAGCTCTGTAAGTCACCCATGTAAATAGAATGAATCTCCTCCACTCAGCTATGCAACACCACCACCAATCTAAGCCACACTGGGCGAGTTACTCACCTGACAAAGATCTTCTCCATCTCTTCCAGCCTGTACACCTCCTTCACCCTGTTGAGTAGAGCAGGTGAGGACAGTTTCCTGGGATGTTTGTGACAGAGGCCCTAGACCTGCCCTTATCCTCAGATTCTCTGAGCCCAGCAGCCCACAAATGAGGTTGCTGGGCCTGCGGCACTGCTACCCTACTGATTGCCTAGGCTTCCGAGCTGCTACATAGCCCTTTGGGCCTGTACAGCAGCTGGGATTCAGCAGTGAGTCCTGAAGACAGGAGAGGGCAAAGGAAGATATGGCAGGCAAACTTTTCTAACACCACCCTTATTCTCAAGGAACCTTCACTGACACTACAGGTCAGAAATCCAAAGGCCAGGCTTTAGATCTTCCTACAGCTGAGTTATTCTAAATAGTCTTGGTACTTCTGTTATTTTGAGGGTGTAGGCTCTAGTTTGAGGCCCAGCCCTCCACATATAGAGACCCCAAACCTGCCTTGGGAACTGCACCTGGATAAGCTGCCTGTTTTAACTAGCAGGCAGGATGTCATATTAGCACAAGCAGAACTCATGCTGAGGCTGTCTTGCATCTTCAGTGCTGGAGTTATTTCTAAGTTTACTTAGATGAACATTACCAATGACTCTGCTAACATATCAATAAGCACTTTACCCTTCAGTGCTGTCTGTAATAGCCTCTGACCTGGAGAAGGTAGTCTACTCTCTATCCCTTCCCTCCTCTTGCCCTGAGCCTGGTATTTTACCCTACCTACGGTTGACAAGCCCCACTCTCCTCAAGCACTGAGTTTCACTCCCCTAACCATCCTTTCATAATCAAATCCCCATTCCCTTACTTATTTCCTTACCCAGAGGCCATGCAGTCAGTAAAGGATACTCAAGCATGAAAGGGCACATGTGCATCTCAAATTAGGAAACCTTAATCCATCCTGCCAGGCAGGACAGGGAGCTGCATCCCCAAACTACTGACATGGCAGTTTATCCCCAGGCCCTTCTACAACCCTCCCATCCCACTGAGGATAGGAGAAATAAGCAACAAAGCCACTACCTGAGGGAGTTGGGGAGGGGGGCATGCTCACCTGATAGGATTCATGTCAGGCCGACTGGGCTTGGAGACCGCTTTCACAAATTTCTCAGCAAGCTGAATTCTACAATCCAAACAGAATCCTTAGAGGAAAGCCAGGGAACCTCAGTAACATCTGTGCCCCAAGGCATTTTCACAGCATCAGTGGGAGCCTGGACTTATACAACACTTCCAAGTGGTAGCATTCATGTCCCCTGGATTCTGACCTCTGTGAGCTGCTTTTCCTAAAGTGTGTCTTTTGTTGTGTTCAGTCATCTCCACTAGGACATCAAGAACCGTTATTGTACATGTCTGCTCTTTCACCTAGCTCATGTTTCATGTCTAGCTCAGATGCGCCAAATTGCGACTGCCCAAGTTCTGACCACAATTTTTAGAAGAAACCCTCCCTCTTCTAACAGAGCCACCTTTATTCAGTCTTTACACAAAAATGACCGATCTGAACAACTGTAGCATGACAAAATGTGATGGAATTGGGCAACCAAAGCCCACACCTCAGCAAACTGCAATGTAGACCCATCTTTCCTCCTGCCTTTGGTGGACATGGGAAGTCCCTCCATCCCTCCCTCCTCCCCTCCCTCCCCTAGGGCCCAGGCACACCGCTGGTTGAAGTGCTGCTCTCTGACGTCACTGCCATTCAGCACCAGGACATCGAGGATGTGGATTGCACTGATCTTCCGCTGGGCCTTCCCCTACAAGGGACAAGCATGCTCTCCACTGTGCAGGTACTAGTCTTTGGCCCACTGTGGCATGCCCCAGTAAGACTGTGGCCATGCTTACTCTAGTCAGCTGGCTTTCCACTGTGTTGCCTGTTAACAGGGAGTGCTCTAAGTTCATCCCTATACTGTAATGATGCACAGCTCACAGAAAATGCCAGGTCTCTTCCTTCCTAAGAGATTGCTAGTTATGAACTAAATTGGCTACTAAAAACACCTGGCAGGATGTCAGAACTGTGGATAAAGACTTTCTGTCTGTCCCTTCCCAGTATCTCCCATAGTACATGGCAACTGTTTTAGAGGAAATTATTTCATCACACCATGAAACCACACTGAGGTGGAAGGCCAGGCTCCACAGTCCCCCAACTCCCCTGCCTTAGGGCCATCTATGAACAAAAATCCTTCTGACCTCCCCTTTCAGCTCATGCACAATTTCCACACAGAGCAGTGTATCCCGGGGCAGCTCTGTCTTCAGGTCCAGCTTCACCCATCGGTCTGACTGGCGACCATCCCACGTGTAGATCTGGGACTTCTGTAGGCAGGGAGAAGAGTAGGCATGGAGACTTAAGAAATGGGAGGGTCTAGTCTCAAAAGAGCATTAACTTGGCACTCAAGCAGACAAGGGCTGGCCAGTGACAGTAGAAAATGTCTAGGAGGGATGGAGTTTGTGACACTTCCTCCTCAGCCTTCACAGGAGAGTAGAGATGGGCTCCATCTTGCTGGTAGGAAACTGTACAAAAGACCTTCATCTAGTGTGATGTACATGTGGAGGTTGGGATTACAGGAAGAGAAGGAGGCAAAAGGAGAAAAATACAAAGTAAGGACACAAAAGAAGAGACTGGAGCAGAGTCATTTGCATGGGAGGATGCAAGATGTAAAGCTAACAGGCCCGCCCTCCCTCTGTTAGCTACCAATGGCCTTGAGGAGGGAGAAGGGTGTCTTCCAGACAGGAAATGGCAGGGGGTAGGATTGGAGACAGTTGGCCACCCAGGATCAGCCTGATGAGCTACTGGCTCTGCATTTCAAGAAAAGCAACAGAAGACCTCTGTGATGCCAACAGAATGAACACACAAGTGTGGCCAGAAGCTGTCCACATCTCCAGACAGAGGACCCCACGCCAATGGGAGGCCAGAAGCTGACTTACCCCCAGGCCCAGGAGGAATTTCTGCTCGCTGCCGGACACCATACAACGATAGTCCAACACGGGACGGATCTTCTCTAGGGTTTTGGCAGTGAGCAGTGTGGGCTTGTAGCTGAAGATGTTGATGTCGGTGTCCTGTGGCACAGATCACAGAAAACACTGCTATGCTGGGGCAGGCTGACAGAGGTGAGGGACAGGAAGCATCTACTCTCAGGAGCAGGCTTCCCTGCACACTCCTTTCCACCTAACCAATCATTAAATAGGATCTATTTCCATCTGCCTGCAGTTTTCCTAGGAGAAACTAGGAAAGGAAAAAACACTGAGTCCCAAGTACAGATGGAGTTACCAGAGCTATGGGGAATATCACCAGAATAGGGCAGCCATGCATTCAGTGACACTGAAAGCAAGGATTCCCCAACAGTTGGCCTGAGAGCAGAGAAATGATCTCTCTATGCCATTCAGAAAAAAGTAAACATCTTGAACCTTATTCTTTAGTCTGTGACCCTCACAAAACCAGCACAGGACCACAACTGAAGTGATACCCTGGGAAAGCTGGAGGTGGGTGGCAGAATTCTTAAGACTAGCTCATTAAGAACAGGATGGAGAGGCTGGACCAGACCCACTGTGGCTCCTCTGCAGTTCCCTGCATAAGATCAACCATCATTCCATCTCTTCCATGCAAACAAACCCTTATGATCCTGAATTTTTAGAACCTTTTGGCCAGCATACCCTTTGGGTGGCAGAATGCTGGCCCAAGCCCATCTTAAGACAAGACTCAGCTGGGCGGTGGTGGCGCACACCTTTAATCCTAGCACTTGGGAGGCAGAGGCAGGCAGATCTGTGAGTTCGAGGCCTGTCTGGTCTAAAAGAGCTACTTCCAGGATATGCTCCAAAGCTACAGAGAAACCCTGTCTTGAAAAAGCAAAAAAAATAAATAAAATAAAATAAAAATAAAAAACAAAAAAAAAAGAAAGAAAAACAAAGACAAGACTCTACTGGCCAGAAATGTTCTTGGAAAACCCTATATAATATAGCAAACCCTATATAATATAGCAAAGTTCTAAGTGGAGACCTTAGTCCACTCCTTTAGTTTCCAGGTTGATGCCTTCTCAATCTTTAATGAAAGCCAGGGCTGCCTCAGTGACACCTTCTGCCCCTAGAAAAAGGCCCCTAATACGATGCCACAGAAGCCAGATTTACCTTGATTAGCTCAAAAAACTTGAATTTTGGGTCTGAAGAAGAAGGAGCAACTCGAGCCCGGTCTGGGATCTGAAAAGAGAGATCAAAGGGCTTAAAAATTTTTATTTTATATGTGTGGGTGTATTGTCTGTATGTCTGTCTACCACATGTGTGCCTGCAGAAACCAAAAGATGGCATCAGATCTCCTGGAACTGGAGTTAAAGGCAGTTGTGAGCTACCATGTGGGTATTGCAAACCTAACTTGGGTCCTCTGGGAGAGCAGCTCTTATCTCTGAGCCATCTCTAGCTCTGGCTTTGGTTTGTAAGTACCCTGTTGACACTGTATGAGGAGATGGGTTCAGGCTGAGGAAGAGTTAATGGCATACAAGCAAAAAGACCTGGCAAGGGAGCTGGAAGTACAAAGTTCATTCCCTATCAAGACCCTGTGTCAACACAACCCAAAGTCCTTTTCTCTACACCTGTTAGATATAGATGGGGCCATCAGGGCAAAATGCAGGCTGCCCCAAACCTCTGTGTTCTTTTGACCCAGATGCAGGCCAAGCTGTCAGAGGGTCAAGAAGGTAACTTGTAACATGCCAAGGAGCTGGGCTCCCTTTCAGGGGGGGGGGGGGGTTAAGGTGACAATCCTGTTCTCATCTACAGCTTCCTGCCCTGGGGTGACAATGGAGTGCTTACCTCCCACAGTCGGAGGCATTCTTTCCGGATCTCTGCCTGCCTAGGCTCACTCAGGGTGCTAGGAAACAAAACCAGAACACGATTAAGACCTCTAAGGAGCCCTATATGACCTTGTCAGCTGCTTAGAGGTACAGTGCAACAGTGAACATCTGAGTGCACATACAGGCTGGCCTCCAAAGACAGTTCAGAATTTATGGACTGAAATCACTTCTCCTCCCACCACCTGGATGCTGTCATTCCCTATACACCCCTTCCCTCCACCACCAAGCACGCTGTGGTTTCTCTTCTTCTCTCAAAGACATCACTATGCTGATATCCCACAAAGCAAAATGAACCCAAAGAGTAGCTTTAACACCGCTAAAGAGATAGGGTTGGTGGGAAAAACAAAGCAAGGGCCACTCTGAGGCTGGTGAGAGATGGGTGGCACTCACCTGTCTTGTACAAAGGCATGGATTTTGGCCAGAGCTTTGATCTGCAGGCTGCAGTGGCTAAGAGAAAACAGACACAACAGGATCAGCATAGAAGTGTGGTCAGAGCAGCGGCCATCTGTATGTGAGGAAGGTACTGGTGAGTTACATGGGGCCCAAAGACAGCAGAGCAGAGCTGAGCCCTCATCACAAATCTGCTGAAAAGGTTTTTTATTCCAGCCATAAGGAATTCAAACACAGTGGTGAACTGACTCTGAGCAACAGCAAAGCCCATACCCAGTTCAACTGCAGACAGCACTGACAAACCTGCTACAGTAACAACTGTCTGTCCTTTAGCCTTGTACACACAGTATCTGGCACTTAATAAAGAAACTAGCCGGGCAGTGGTGGCGCACACCTTTAATCCCAGCACTCGGGAGGCAGAGGCAGGAGGAAATCTGTGAGTTCGAGGCCAGCCTGGGCTATAAGAGCTAGTTTAGGACAGGCTCTAAAGCTACCGAGAAACCCTGCCTCGAAAAACCAAAAAACAAACAAAACTACTGGGGCTGGAGAGATGACTCCAAGGTTAAGAGCACTCACTCACTGGCTGTACTTCAGAGGAAACAAAACTTTCAAAGGGGCTGGGGAGATGACTCAGTGGAGTTCAGATCCCCAGTACCTGAATAAATGCTGGGCAAGTGCTGGCAGCTCACCTGTAATCCCAGCAATGGGAAAGTAGAGATAGGATCCTTAGAGCAAACTGGCTAGCTAAACTAGGTGAGTTGGAGAGCTCTAGGTTCAAGTAAGAGACCCTACCTCAATATGTAAGGAAGAGAGCAACTGAGGAAGACACTTGACATCAGCCTCTGGCCTCTTGGAAACCACCAGAGGAAAAGGCACATGATAATAGCGACAAGGCTAATAGTAGGAGCTGGAGGTGGCTCAGTGGTTAGAAGCACGCACATCAAATGGCTCACAACCACCTGGAACTTCAACCTCAGAAGATTCAATGCCTCTGGCCTCTGCAGGCAACATCAGTCACATACAGAGACACAAAGTTGGAAAGGAAATATTTTTTAATAGCTTCCCATCAGAAGAAAGGGATGTGAGAAATGTAGAATACCTTTAAAGTAAAAGAAAAAATATTTCCTTCCCAATTAAATCCTAAAAAAAAAAAAAAAACATGCTTTTTTTTTTCTGGATGTTTATGTTATAGGTTGTTCTGTTGAAGCAGAGCCTCACTATGTAGCTCAACCTGTCCTGGAAATCAGTGATCCCTTGCCTCTGCCTCATGAATGGTGGGATTAAAGGCATGCACCACCATGTCCAACTAAGAAATGCGTTTTTAAATAGACAAAAAAATGAAGGGGTTGTCTCGAGTATACAACATGACTGAAGTGGAATGACTGCAGACAGGAACCTGGGCTCTCCAGGAAGGACGCAGAAGTGTGTCAGGAAAGGAAACACAAGACAAGAACACTGAGCCTAAAACTCGGAGAATCACTGAGGCAAGAATAGCAAGTTCCAACCAGCCAAGGCTACACAAAACATGCAAACTAAGACTTTCTGGAAAGAAAACAAATCATTCACCAGAAAAAGAAAAGGCCTAAATGGATTTCATTTTCAAAATTTTAAAATTTGAGATGTCAAACATGAAAAGGAAATAAAATTACCTCACTTCACAGATGACATGTCACTAGAACAAGACAGAAAGCCTAGAAGTAAATGCTCATTTACTACTACTTATTAGCATTGCTAATGAAATAGCAAAAGATTTTGGAAAGTGTGCCAAGACCATTTAATAGAGAAAGGACAGTCTAGAAAAATCTGGAAAAAAATGGAGTGAGACTGTTAATGCCATATCCAAAAATAATTTAAAATAAAATGCCTCAACACAGAGGCTAAATTTGCAAATCTTACAATGAACAAGGAGAAGCCCCACAACAGAGTGAAATAATAGAAGAAATGAGTAAGTCAGTGTGGAGGCCAAGAACTGCAGGCCCAGTTCCATCTTGCACATCCCAACTCAGGATGTGATTGCCTGGTTTCCTGGAAATTAAGATAGGCCATGCCATCCTGACAAGTGGTCAGGATATGCAAATGTGCTTCTGTTCCTTCTTTTGTAACTATGAGGTCACCTGGGGAAGGGTGGTCTTCAGCATACCTGATCTAGAGCACTTTAGCTACCTAGACAACAGAATACTAATGATTTGATGTCTCAGAGTAGTAAAGTGACTGTGTAAGTTTCTTTTGTATCATTTTTTGTTACCTTCTCTCCTCCCCCCCCATTTATGTTGGGTATAAAAGCTGTGGTAAAAAATAAGTGGGGGGAGGATTTCAGTCACTGGAATGCCCTCCCAACACTTTCTGTGGTTTATGTCATCCTGTTATTTTTTATGTGTCTTCTTCATATTCTTTACTTATATTTCTAAAATTTCCATGCCCCTAC